ACCTGGAGAGAACGAGGGCCAAGCTGGCCCCATTCTGTGTGTCCTTACTGATGCCATCCGTGGTCTCCTGGAGTTGGTTGGTAGAGCATGGGACCCTGGGGGCCAGCAGATGTCAGCTAAGGTAACGGTGGCTCTCCACTTTTCCAGATCCTGAGTCTTCCCACTCTGGCAACTTTCTTTTCCCAGTCTCTCTCTCTCTCTCTCCCAATGTCACATTCCCCACATTCTGTCTATTCTTCATCACAGGGTTTGAGGAGCCTGTCTCCTACCTTGTCCTCCAGACATCATCCTTTCACAACCATTCCTGGGCACATCTGAGCTCAGGCTCGTTGGGGGAGCTGCAGATTCACAGCTGGAACAGCAGCTCGGGTACCATCATTTACCTGTATCCCTGGTCCAGGGGCAACTTCAGTAACAGGGAGTTGGTGGATCTGGAAAGGTTTCTCCGGGTAAACTTCATTGGAATTCAGGAATTTTACATTGATTACTTCATGTCTGAAGGTGAGTTTAGTTCCATTGCTGGGAGAAGAAAGGTAGGAGGGGGGTGTCTCAGTGACCTTTTTGATCTGTGGTGCTGGGGATTGACCCCAGCCTTGTGCACGTGAGGCAAGCTCTCTGTAAACTGAGCTGTATCCTCAGCCCTCGGTGAACTTCTTATTCCTGTAGTAAACAGCCTATGCTGCTTCCAATCTTACTCCACTCTCTTGAGCATAAAACTGCAACCAAACCCTGGGAAAGTGCTATAAACCAGAATCCAGTTCTTCAAAAACTTCAGTTTTTGCACTTATGAATTGCTCCCTCATTGCCTGCAGGGCTGTGTGTTACTGTCTCCCCTCAGAGGCATCCTGTGGCCACCCTTTTCCCCAGCAATCAGCCAGGTGCCTTCCGCTTCCTCACTCTTTGGTTGACTCCTTAAAGTGTGACTTTCTCTCCCATTTAATTCTTCAGTCATCCCCATCTAAACTGCTATGGTTACCATGGATACATTCACCCTGGTTAGTTAGAGTCTCAGCTCTCTCACATGAAGTCCTTCACCCCCCATCATCACTATCACCTTTGAACAATCCCCTCCCTTCCTCATATTGTCATCTCTTCCTCCACCTCCAGCTCCTACCAGTTCCCCTTTCTGTGAACCTCAGACCAAACCACACTGTGGTCCATCCCCTAAACTCCCCAAACTCCCTTCTGCTTTTATAGTCTATTGCTTTCATCTCATTCCATTTTCTCCATTTCCTCCTCTAACTCATGACTCTTCTTCCCCAGATCCCTTTGATCTACAGATGGCAACAGGCTGTGAACTGCACTCTGGGAAGTCCTGGTTAGGCTTCCTGCAGTTAGCTGTCCAAGGATCTGATTTCCTGAGCTTCCAGAATGAAACATGGTTACCATCTCCAAAGGGTGGAAGAAAGGCCCAGAAATTCTGCGAACTGCTCAATCTGGACCAAGGCTTTGCACATGAAGAACATTTGCTCCTCAGTGACACCTGCCCACATTTCACCTTGGGTCTTCTAGATGCAGGGAAGGCTCAACTCCAGCAACAAGGTCAGTCTTGTAGCCCATTTCAAAGAATTTTTCTATTTTAAAGTCAAATTCAGGATAAAAAGAAGATAATGTGTGACATTTCCAGAAGGAGAAAAATATATCCATATAGTCTCATGCAGAGTTCTGAACCTCTCAGCCTATGTTAGAGTCTGTGTCTGGATGTGTTTTCTGTCCTTTGCAGTGAAGCCTGAGGCCTGGCTGTCCAGTGGCCCCAGTCCTGGTCCTGGGCTTCTGCTGCTGGTGTGCCATGTGTCTGGCTTCTACCCAAAGCCCGTGTGGGTGATGTGGATGCGAGGGGACCAGGAGCAGCAGGGCACTCAGAGAGGTGACATCCTGCCCAATGCAGATGAGACGTGGTATCTCCGAGCAACCCTGGATGTGGCAGCTGGGGAGGCGGCTGGCCTGGCCTGCAGGGTGAAGCACAGCAGCCTAGGAGGGCAGGACCTC